TGTGTTTATCACTGGAAGCCTTGGTGGCCTCGTTTTGGTGCATTTTCAAAACTTCAAATGCTCACATCTTGTAAAGGATTTATTACTTTAAGTAGAAACTCACACGCCTTATCTAAATCAACAAGATCAATGATTTAAAAGGGTTTTCACTCCAGTTATGAAAGTCGTGTATTGGACGACCTTTCAGAAAAGGTACGTTTGCCCTGAAGGCTAATTTGCATACAGACATGCTCATGTTTGATGCTTTTTCCCTTGCCACTACGGAACTCTGCGCTTAGAAAAAAAGTCAACTAAACGAGATTGGAAAAAGTAATTACATTAACGGCATTTTCAACGGCATTTTCATGGAATGACCTTGTTAGACATTTTCCGCACAACAACAGATTTAAATAGCTTTAATTAATTAAAGATTATATATTTATAATCATCAAATACCTATAGCACGAACTGGATGTTTTTGCTTGTGCTGTAGACCATCGATACAAGACATGGAGCTATTTTATAATATTATACTTAACAGATGCCGAAGGAGTTGTCAAGAAAGAAGGCTTACAGCTTGATGGCGCTAGCCTTATCACGACTCTGAAGCCAATCCCAAAAGAACTGCCAAAAGACCAGAAAAGATTCCATGTGATGGGTATAAGCGATAGGACTATAAGAGACGGACTCGTATCGTTCCTGGAGGTAGTGAGCGGAAAAGAAGTTGAGAGTTTACTTTTTGGTGATAATTCCAATTGTGTGGTTAGTTTTACTGAGCCAGTAGGTGAGCAAAATTCTATCATTTCCGCCGCATTTTGTCGAGTGCTCTGGATATTTGCATAATTATTGACATCGTTGTCTTGCACTGTGTGCTAACCCACAAGAGGCGAAGGAAGTGAGCTTTAGTGCGCATGAGTTAACAGACTTTGTACGAGGTACTGGCACAGGGGTTAGCACATTGTCCTTCCCCGATCCGATCTCCACTCTGACCGACACTTTGTCTTTCCCTAGGTATATTCCTTTAAATACCTCTCGCATATCAGTGCTCAAATTTTAGATCGGGAAAACATTTTTGAACCTACTCTCCGGTTCCTCCCCTTCAACCTATGAAATATCATATCCTCAATTTCATAAAAATAAAATCATAACATCAATAAGTAATTATCTTTGATTCTTAGATTTTCCTGAACTGCAGAGGATATGCAAAACAAGCTCCTTGGACGATTGCTTCTTTAACATAGAGCAAGTCAAAGTATGTGATACCATTGAAATATCAGGATTTACTGTAAATACAACCCAAGACACGATTTTGTACTACTTCAGAAATAAACGAAATGGAGGTGGAGATGTGGAACGTATCGATATGATTGACGAGGGGAGAGTGTTGCTTTCTTTTGAGGACCACAAAGGTAAAAATA